GTTCAGGTTTTCGCTGTTTATTGCTGTTGTTGAGTTGACATCGCCTTTACCAGATCGTTCAGTGTAGGATTCTGTAACATCTCACGGGTTTGCACTAGGTTCTATCGTTTCATCATTTAATTTCTCTGAAGGACCTCAACGTTGCGTACCATTGATATAATCAGGGGATGCTTCAAAGCTGCAGTATGGATCTGTAGGCCTGAAAGTTGGACTGATAATCACAGAGCGATGCATATTAGTGTATCACTTGCATCTGTGCCTTTTTAACTCACAGACCCATTTCCATGCAGGTGTCTTATGCATGTACTGTATGTTGCCAGGACTCTCAAGTTTCATCAATGGTTTGGAGTGAGATTAGATGGGTTGGGGGCGGAGCGTGTGTCACACCGTCAATGCCGATGAGAGCCCTGTCTACCGCCGTCATCGGATCTTGTTCTTCCACCTCGTCCGCACTCCGTGTGCACATCCATGTAATAACGAGGTTGCAGCGGGATCAAGTGTAACTTATTTTGGAATGTCCCCGGAAGCAACAGACGCTATTTCCTGATTGGCTGGTAGATGGCTGTTGACTCTATAAATCAGGACAGCTAGGAACCGCATCTCGTCTATTAATTCCACATAGCAGAACACCAAGGTGGACGTTACCCCTTACTTGAGAAACACAAGGTGTGACGTGTGAGCGTGTGAATTGGTTGAAATGCATGTGTCTCACGGTCAGTGCCCTGATGTTGCAGCAGCACAGTATTGCTGTGTCATGCACCACATTACATCAGGTTGTAGCTGGCAGTCTAACATGGGGTATCTGCTCCCTCATATCTCCATGTGCTGTGCTGGTTACCTTTGAGTTCCCCTTCTATTCAGAGTTTTCCCATTCCTGTACCTCTCCATGCCTGGAGTTGTGATAATATAGAAAGACTCTGCACATCATGCAGCAGCAACGTTCGGGGGCCAATTAACTTCTCTGGGGCCCTAAGGTGACATGGCTATGAGGCCCCCAAGTGGGCCAATTTTTGGAGCCGAAAGAGAAATGAGAAAGCATGAAAAATTATTCAAAGCCAATGATCGGCTGATGGGTGTTGGCAGTAATATTTGCCAATCAGGGGGTTGTTTTTGGCCAGATTTAATAAGTTTAACTGTTCAATTTTTCCCAAGGTAGGATGGGACTGCAACCTGTAGGACAACTGAAGCGTTAAGGTGCTCTTGGTTAGGGGGAGTAAATTTGTCTCCGATGATAAGGAAGTTACCACAATGTATGAGTGGAGACTGGGAGGTCGCAGACTTCGAGGTCTCAGAATTAAAGAATGAGGTTTGTATGTGGTTCGAGTGGAGGTTTGTTCACCGAGTCCAGAATTCACTGTGTGTGAGGTATGACCAGAAAAATAGCATTTACATAGTCAGTAGCTTTCATTTAAGTGGTTTTTCATTCAAGCGACCGCTTGGGCAGTACAATAATATATGAACTTTCTCCCTCTAAGGCTGATTATGTTCATTTTTCTCTTTCGCTCTCATTAAGATAGATGGGGGGTGGAGGGGGTTAGGGAGCTGTGAGGAGATTCGAACGAGTATAACCTGAGTTTCTCTCACCAGTGCTAGCAGCTCAGAGCTAATCTTGGGTTAAGCTCTGCGCTACAGGCACGAGGGGACACAGAGTAGCCTACAGACGCAGCGGCGGACAGGGGATCAGGGAGCCACGCAGGCTGGGAAAACTCGGGAAACAGAGAATGTAGGAAAGAAACATTTTTACTCCATTTAAGAAGCTATTGCTATATCGCTATCTGACTGATGGATGCTAATGTAGCTTTATTTTCAGAGACCTAATATACTGCATCAGAGATGAATAATCATTCACACGGATGATACAGTGAACAGGAAATGGTAAGAGTGTCACACTTTCACAGATTAGCATCTTTGCCTGAATCACACAACAAGGTGGCTATGCCTCTTTGACCCCATATTTTGAATAAATTATCGTCTAGCATATCGGACCGCTAAAATATTCCGTTTGACGCCATCACTGCACCATAACGCCGCAGATGCGCTGTGACGAGTGGGCTTAAGGGCAAGCCTCGCCACCCAGCAGACAAAGGGCAGCGTTTCCGAATGCATCCCTGTCCCCCCCCCCCACCCACCCCCCACCGAATCACTCATCAAAGAGCCGGAGCTTGAGATCAGGCCCACAGCGGATGTTAAGCCAGGAATTGACCCAGCCGTGCATCCCGGCCCCTGTGCTTCAGCCTTTATCTGCACATTTCTGCTTTTCTGATTGGGCGTTCCCAGCGATGACTCGAGGTTACGGGAGACGTCCTCCTCTGATGGCTGCGCTAGTCTGCTGGGCTTTGCAGACGCCTTAGAACCAAAATTAATAAAAGAGAGCACTGGAAAACTGAGTAGGATGGCAGTGTATCCATGGGAACTCTTACGCTCCTTGGATCATTTTGTCCCAGGTATTAATAGGTTATGCTGAGAAATAGTAACAACCAGGCCCATTAACAGTTATTACACATTTATTACATACATCATTTTTGAACTGGAATCAGCTCGGAGGTGACCGTTCCATTGCAGAGGTTCTGGTAGGAGTTCTGACAACCAACATCACTTTTTAATAAGCTAGATCAGGGCCTTGGTCTGTAGTGGTTAATAATCATCCTGTTTACTCAGCACCATAAAGATCCAAGTGCCCCTCTTCTGAACGGCATGAAAAATTAAACGCACATTACTGGTACAAGGTCTCTAGCTCTGGTTTGTGTCCACTTGAGGGTCACAAATTTGAGAAACGTTGGGACCTCCCCCAAAAATTCATTCTGCAAACCTTATTGTGAATGTGCCCTCCGTATCATGCCTTTGTTGATAATCAGAGCCTATTGTTCTCTGTATTCATACTTTACATTTGATGTATACATAATTACGTACATACACGTGTTTCTTGTGTATACATAATTATTTATATGTTCTGCAATGGATTAGGTGTCCTTGCCTTAAAACCCCTGCTTCCTGGGATTGGCTCTAAGCTCTCTGTGCTGGATGTGCAGTTATAGAACAGGGATGGACAGATAACTATGCACGTTGATGTTTATTATGTATGGAGAAAGATGTGGAAATCTTACAGTACTTATATAGCTCGTCTCTCAAAGGAGTAGTCTGACTCTGTTTATGAAGCGAGCAACCTGGAATAAATTTTGGCACAAACTGCGTAACGAACAAGAGCCAATCATCTAGAAGTTTTCATATCACAGTTTTATTTGTCCGGGGTTCCCTCAAAATAGTCCCTTCAAAAATGTAATTCGGTTTTATGTCTTTGTTTACTAGTAATGCTTTTGAAGTCCAGCCACACTTTGCCTTGACAGTTGCGTCACCAAGCTGCTGTTTCCTCATTAATCAGATGTTTTTACACCACAATACCTCTGCGCATCCATTGGCCTGCTGGGGGGGGGACAGTCTTTGCGGGTCATGGGCTCCATTTTTGTTTTACACAGGCTGCAGAAACAAATGTTTCATGCAGTTCTCTCCGGAGGGAGCACGTTCATCTGCTTTTTTAGAAAGTATATTCATACAGCCGTTTCGGACACAGCAGGTCGTTCACCGTACGCTTTGGGAGCGTCACAGGCTGACTTTAACGATGACATTCATAGCGCATCTCTGCAGCACTCAGGCAAAGAACCCCCCCCCCACGGACAGGGCTGCAAAATGTCCCAACCGGGTTATGGGACTGTTCTGTGTTCATCAAAGCGGAAAGTGCTACGTTGCCCCTTTAACCTTCTGAAATGAGGAATTAAAAACTTCTCTCCTGTACTGCATTAGACATTTCATCATTAGTGCTTGGTCTAATGTGGGTGATTATTATGCAAAATATCTAGTTATTTATTACTAATTAACACTGTTATGTAAATATATGTATTGCATAATTAATTGTATTGTTATTTTGATATGTAACATATCAACCAGTTGTTTCTGTTGAAAGCTGGGGTTAGAACGCTTCTGTTAAAACGCTTGGTTTAGCCAGCGAGGTCTGGAAATATAAACGCCACTGCAGCATGGAACACTAGTAAAGTAACCGATTTAACTTTACTAACCAAGTGCAAGTGCAGCCCACCATCTTGCAAATATCATCAGAATCCCAACTACATACAGCATAGTGTCAGAAAACTGTTCCACCCAGAAAGACGTCAGTATCTGTGCTCTGAGATGTTAGGCTGGAGCGTGAACGCCTCTAAGCCACACCATTTTTTTTTTTTTTTGCCTGTTCCAAAAGGCAAACCTCTCTGTACATTTGCTACATCATGCCCCGCTGACATGCGATAAAACAAGTATAGAAACAGAAGGACCAGAATCTTCAGCGGTGCTGCATGATATGGGTCTGGGTATTGCCATTCTAGTTGTGAGTAACTTTCTACCCAGTAGAATTCTCCTGGCTGGCAGAAAGTGCCAGGAGACAAAGTGTCACATCGGCCTCCCCCTCATCACGCCCTCTGAGATATACAACACTTGACTGCGTCCTCAACACCTTTCCTATATATAAATGTCCAATGGCAGCCACTACAGCCCTGAAAAATGGACTCCAGAGACGGATGAATGCCTAGTTCCCCATCAGGACGACAGTCTCAATGTACCATATAGCTTATGTTTATTTAGATTTTTATTTTGTATAATGTCCTTTTCAGCAGTGTTGGAAAGAACATCACGTGCAAATGCAAAACCTCTCCTGCATCTGCCCGGGCCGTGCACTGCGAGATAGGCGAGAAGGCATCAGAGAAGCGGCAGAGGCTCTGCACCAGGGCTTCCCCGTCTACCGACCTGCCAAAAAAACATCCCCATGCAACAAGTAGTTAAAGGTGCGACCCAGCCCATCTCTCTCGCCAGTTTGTGCAAGGTTCGCAAAAAGCCAGAGTGACTTTGGCTGCCGCCCCAGAGACGAACGAGTGAGCCGTCGAACGGTCGCAGAGGGCAAAGCGAGGAGCAAAGGGAGGAAGGCGAAGGCTACCAGGACTCTCCTGCGTACTCACCGACGAAGAGAGCGAGCAGCAGGCTGGCGTGAAACGTGCCACCCAGCCGGGCGTACCGGCACAGGGCTGAAGCGCTGCCCTTCCAGGAATCCATATTGGCACGTGTAGAGTTTTCGGTCTGCCCCACGGGCTCTGAAACTCTTCCCGGGGACGTTTCTCAGATCGGGCAGGGTGAAGAGTTGGCGTTAGCGTGTGGCATGAAAAAAGAAGGCAAACAAACGCTCCCCTCGGGGTTCTTCTTGCCGCTGCTGGACACTTGGAGGAAAAGGGAGAAGAAAAGGAGGAGTGAGGAGCAGATTATGCAGGTAGCAGAGGAGTTCTGCGAAGACCTCAGTCAAAAGTGAATGGTTAAAAAAAATGCAGGTGGAGGAGAGCAGGGAACCTGTTCGAGGGGCTCAGGACGCCGAGCCACTCCTGACGGTCGCCCTCGTGTGCCGCTTACAGAACTGGCAGCTCCCAGACCACGTGAGGAGAAGAGCAAATATATCGCTGGCGTCCGGAAAGGTGAGGCTGGGGCGCGGGATCCGGTCTGGGGGGGAGAATCGTTCAGGCTGGCCCCCCGCGTGAGTTTACGGCAGGGGGGGTGGGAGGGGGCGACGGGCGAGGAGCCCAAGGAGGGAGGTGACGGGCAGGGTGCAGCCGGCGCTGGCGAGGTGCTGCAGCGGAGGCAGGGAGGACAGGCGGAGAGGAGGGGGGCAGGAGGAGGGGCTGCGTGGCTGTGCTTGCATCTGGGTATGCGCTCGCTCGGGCTCCGGAGGCTCAGTGCGGCGCGGCGGGCTGCGATCCGGCTCTCCTCTCGTGCCGGTACCGGCTCCCGTCTCTGGCTCTCCGGTGCGCCTTTCTGCCTCAAACCCTTCCCAGCAACGGCTGGCCCTCGCTCAACTTTCCCTCGCTCTCTTTCCTGGCTCAATGCCACGATCTCTCCCTCTCTCAATCTCTCCCTCCCTCTCTCTCTCTCTCTCTCTCTCACTCTCTCTCCGTAGCTCTGATCCCCCACCCCCCTTTCCCATTCGTTGCTGAGTTCAGGGCGATTGCAAACGCAGGCACTTTTTGTGCTAAGAAGGTTTTAAATCAGAGGGTTTCTGCAATGCAGGTTGGAGAGCCGTCAGTCCGGAGCTGTCGGCAAGGTCTGACACGTATCGTTATACTCGCCAAAGGACAGGGAAAGTTCACATGTTTGCGATCATATGTTTGCATACAGTCCTCTGGCTGCTTTTTAAAAACCTCCTCTGTTAATATATAGATGCCTAAATTTACAGGCAAGCATGCTTTGGGTGCACAGTTTGAGTATCTACATGTGTTTGTTCTTGTGCGAGGGGAAGGGAGTGTTATACCGCGAATATCTCCCTCTGTCGCTCAAATTTGCCCTGTTTCAAGTGGCAAAGCCAAGCATCACCTGACTTGGTAATTTGAATGCCTTCCGTCTTCTCGAGATTAAGTGTCTGGACTGGGTTTCCTGACCCTGCGCCAGCCCCCTGCAGCTGGCCAAGTGTCCGGTTCTTCGTTCTCAAGGCGGCAGACATTTGAAGCCCAAGAAAGAACCATCTAGATTTACTTGAGACGGTTCGGAAGGGTGTGGCGGGGGGGCTGAGAGGAGGTAGTAAACATATGTACTTTTTAAAGGTCATCGTAACTAAGCCACGGGGGTCCTGTTACAGGCATAAACAGAAAATGAAACCAGTCAACGAAACTGGACCTTGGATCTCAGTGGAGCGGCTGTACCCCTACATCCTTAATGAGTAAATGCTGATTTATGTTACTGACGGATATTTCACAGTCTTACATAACAATATGTCAGTGTTACTCAGTGTTACTCTGTGCCCGTCAGTATCTGTGTGTGCGTATCTAGATTGTGTGCCTTTCATAGCGTATGTGTGCCTTTTATAATATATATGTACATATGCATATAGGCCGGTTGCATGCGGGTGAGTCCCCGTGTACCTGGGAATGGTACAGTCCACCGTGCACTATCCGCACACGTACAGTAACAGCGGCGCGCTAACAAGGCCGTCCGTTCTGTCAGACTCCTACCTGCAGAGCGGCGCACGTCACCTACAGTAACCTTCGCGCTCGCGTTCCGGCACACGCCCCCTGTTAGCAAGAGACAGGAAGGCCAGTTATCCACACCGGTTTTATTTAGTTCCTGGTCCTAGTTCCTAGTTATATCCACCCCCCGTGGAGTGGAGTGATTTATGATGTCGCCCCTCCAGAGGGCCGGGCCGCATCTGCATCCGTTGCGCTTACCACAGACCTCCATGTACCACGCGCAGAGTGACCTTGAGAAATACCATCTTTGTTGGGGAGGGGGGCTGTGTATGCAAATTACCAGCCGGCATTTCCTGTAATGTAATCTACTGTATGTGGTGAGAGGTGGCGGGCGGGGGTGCAAAGGGAGAGAGATGTAAGAGATGGCGATCCAGAGAGACCTGGGGGAGTAACGGACATGGGGGTGGATTATTATAGGCCACGGTTATCAGGAAAGCTTATTTTCAGGAGGTGCGGCACAGCTTAAGTGAGACAGAGGCGAGGAGAGAGTGCTGTAGGTTTTTGGGACAAAGAAAGATGCAGCAACATTAAGGACAAGGGGAGGGTCCCGCGAGGCTTCAGGGACATGCTCAGTCACTGCGCGCTTGGAGGAAGGGAGGACATGAAGTGAAATGGAAATGAACATGTGAATAGAAAATAAAGAGGCATCAGAGGACCAATGAGGAAAACAACCTGGAGAGATCTGTGTCCCCCCCAGCCTGCAGTCAGGGGGGGGGGGGGGGGGGGGGGTGGATGATGAGGCAAAAGTCTTTGCAGGAGGGAGGAAGGCAGGAGATTGAGTTGAGAGGGCAGTCGAGGGAGGCAGTGGGAGCCTTCAGAGGGACTCAGTTTCCTCACTGTCACTTCTACCTCTCTCTCCATCTCTCTCGCTCTCTCTCTCTCTCGCACACATCCACTTCTCAGTTTGCAGTTGACACAATGTAGAACATTCTCTTTTAAAAAGATTACCGACACTGCTTCTTGCCGAAGTTGGAGACCTCAGGCCGTCCCACAAACGACTCAGCGTCAGTAGAAAAAAAAGCGGAGCGCCCCCCCCCCTCCCCATACCTCCCTCATCAGTCTCCGCTCCCCAGCGAGACGTAACTGCAAGAGGACCAGTAAAGGTGGAAGAAAGGGACGATGCTTTTACGTGTGTTTTACTCACCGGGATGGAGAAGAAGAGAGAGCTGCTTTATCCGCTGGACTCACCAGATCCGCAGAGAAGGTAGGAAGAAGTTCATCGCATTCAGAATTGTCTCCGTTTCTCATTTTGCGTGAAAATAATATCCTCTGGGCAGCAGCAGTATTTGCATACAGTATAAGTACAATTAATTTGTTTCTGTGAATTTGTTTTAACACAAAACTGGTGCAATTTTGTCTCATGGCTGAACGAAGATCAGGACATGGTGCTAAATTAGTTTCTGTGCCTATTTCAGTGATATTGTATGAAATTACAAGTAGCAGTAAAGTTGTGAGTAGAATTGACGGTGATAAGCCCAGTGACTGTTTTGTCAGAAAGAAAAAAAAAACTCTTTGAATGTCCTTTCTTTTAATTAATGCGGCATTAAAATAGAACACTTGCATTTGCAACAATTGCATTTAACATTTAAACACTAGCTATACATAGCAATTAGCCATAGTTCCGCATACTAAATTTTCCATTTTTAGGTATGTTGAAGCTTTAATTTCTGAGGGTCTGTGATCTTTAACTTAAAATATTATTGCTTATAAATATTCATAAGAAGCTTTGCAGGTACATATGTCACATTCCATCTCTGGTCGAGCCATATATGCAGTAACCTACAGACTATATGAGGTCAAAGAACAGCTAATATTAACTACAGAGCAGAAAATGATGAGCCCAGGTTATTTTATCAACATCCTTTGATGCTGAGAAAATATATGAAATCAATAAAACCCTACATTAGTTGGTAACTAATAATGACATTGAAATAAGAGGCTCTGTGTCAGAAAGGTATGGATGCTAAGAATGCCGCTAGCTATTTATCTGATTGTTTCATTTTTTTGATTTCCTCTGGGATTTCATTTCTAACAGAATTAGAAATGGCAATAGATCAATTCACACAATAACAAGGTGACATTTTTACGAACGATATTATCACCCATCTTCAGAAAGCTCCTGCTACTGAGCGTCAGATCTTCAGCCTTAACTTGTGCTTTCCGAATTATTTCTCTGAAATTTTTACTGGAAAAAGCTTCTTTTTTTTCTTCTTTCCCGTAAGTCGCATGTTTTAGACCTGAAATTTCAGACTCAGATGTGTAATCAATGGTGGTCAGGAGAAAATGAAATTCTAATGTTCGCCTGCTCTTTAGCGTCATGGAGTCGATTCCAGATTCCAAAGTGCCCTACTCTGTCATCCTTTTCTTCTCAAAGATGATTTGTCAGAAACACGTGTCAACAATAGCTTCCTTACATAATCTATTGTAATTACAACAATCTAAACATATCAGAACAATAAAAACTTATTTTTCAACCTTTACCCTAGGATTACATTTCACTCAATTCATAATAATATTCATAGCAAAACCTTATGTTTGATCATTACTAACATTCCAAGAACCAGTATCAAGGGCCTTTTGACTCTCGTCCTAATTTATTCCTGTCCTGTTCAGAGCAAATGCTTTCCCAGTACAAATGTCAATCTTTCACTCCTTATTCTGTATATGGTTCTTCCACAAATACTAGAAGGAGTTGTTGTTAGTCCCTAACAGCTCAGTGGAGAAAACTAAGTAGCTTGCTAAACTTTTGAGCCTGTTGCTTAACGGGAAGGTGATGCAATGTATGGGATGATGATTAATGGTCTGCCTGTATGGATAAGCGAAATCCTAGCCAAAGAGCGGCGTGTGCACCACTACTCACTGTTCTGAATATGTTAGTGAGAAAACATGCAGTTTACGTCAACTGCCAGGGTTTTGCATGCATTTACATTAATTCAATTGATGACTGACATGAGTATAATTCTAGTGCAGCTGGTGTACTGTTTACATGTTGTTTTAGCATTAGCGGCTAATTTGCTTGTGGTGTAGTAGGGTGTTACTTTTGAATAAATTCATGCTTATGAAGGATTCGAAGAATTTGCAATTATACTTCGAGGAAGAATACAAGGCAGTATCAAAAACACCAAGAAGTCATTCATACCCTTTTCCTTATTTTTACTGGCGGAGTGCAATTTTTATTTAATCACAGGCTATTTTCGACAAGCCTGGATTTGAGATAGCCGCATTGCAATTTTCAGTTCATCAGATATTTTCTTCATCAGGGCTTTCCCTCAGAGAAATCCCTCCTCAAAGCAGGGGAGGACGGTATTAAACAGGATGGGAAAGGTGTTGAAATGCAAATAGTGTCTCGCACATGTATCACTAAGGAAGAAAAAAAATCCAGGGTGAGAAAATAAATTAATCACTACCTGTCAGTTCTGAAGATCTGCTTTTACTGTTAATTAGGTACGTTTGTCCATCTTCCAAAGTAGCTAAAACATATTTCCGCTTAACTTTTTAACAGTTATTAGTCAGTTTCACCGGCAGCTTCGATTAACAGGCAGATTCTCTGCACAGTCAGAAGTGTGAACGGTGGCAGATATATTGTACTGTAGCCTCTGCATTTTATGATTCCGGTGTATCTCAGCAATATTGTCCCGCTACTATTTTTGTAATAACCGTGTGTGACCCAAAAGAGAGGTTGAAGTCACAACAAGGATGCCTTTGACAGGGCTGACATCTTGGGGGGAGGACTGTGGAAATTGTCCTGGGCCATGGGTGGGGGTGGTATGGGGAGCAGGAGACGGCCCAGGTGGGAGGGGTTGCACATTACGGAGTCACGCACATGCTAATGCAAATGAAAACTATCACGATGTGCGATATGAACAGCTTGGACGGCATCGAATATTTTCAAAAGCAACGTTACTTTACAATACAGCTTACAAAACTTAGCAGCCTTTGCGATTTTAACGATGGTTTCTTTTCAAGATTCAAGATCTAGTATATGTTAAAAAAAAAAAAAGCATTAAAAAATCACCGCTTTTCCGTGAACTCTGCAAGTGCTCTCCGAGCCAACCATGATCATTTTCATCCTTGCTGTCGAACTCACTCTTAGACAGTGTGATGTGTTTGTGAGAAGTTGAACAAAAATGAGTGAGGAGCAGAAAAATAAACATGAAATAATAGCTAAAAGACAGCCTTCAGCTGCATGGAGATATTTTGATTTCATAGAGACAATATTGAGCAATAGCAAGTAATATTTGAGCACAACAGCAACAATGTTTGGATATAGTCTATTTTGGTACATTTTCAACTACTTTTCTGTTTTATAAATTTTGGTTTTTTTATTGCAAAAAATGACTCTCCAACCTCTACAAATGCCACGCCATTAAAGCATTGTTTACACTTTAATGGAATTAATTGTTTGGCTCCCATAACACATACTACTTCTCAAAGCCACACAATACTTAAAGCAGAGTATTAATTGAGTTTATCACTGCAAAAGCCTCACGCTACTGAGAGCTCCTAAGAGCTGGCTGCAAATCACAATTCTAGTAGCACAAAGCCCAAATATCATTGTTAGTTTTCCAATACCTACATGGGTATCAGTACTACTGCATTAAAATAAGGCTCCTATACATGAGTTACATAACGACATTTAAGTATTTGACATTAAACATTTCCATTTACTCAGTGCTTTCACAGGTGAGGACTTCTTTTCAAGAAGCGCATAACCTTACAGGGTGTGCAAAGATATTGCTCCATAATCATAGAAAAGGACTGATTTTCAAATGATTGGTGACCTTCTCCTCAAAAGCAAGCACCTGGTTATACCATTAGGTTTAAGTGGGATTTTTTAAAAAGAGTTCCAGTAATGTGGTAGGCATGAACTTCCAGCCCTGGTTTGCCAAATGACAGATGACTTTTTATGAATTTTATCAGCAGAATAGAGGTCGACCACTACAGTAGCAAACAGATACGAACTAAACCGTAACCTCTGCAGAATAAAACATTGCAGATTTTACTGGGCCACAGAAAATTAGAACATGGAAAAAGGAAAAAAAAAACATATAACCTTCAGTTGAACGACGCAGGTGAACATGATGTGAATACAATGAGCAGGAGAAGCAGATCCTGGGACGTCTTGCTCTCTCCTTGTTTGTCTTTATTTTCTCCATCAATGTTCAATAAAAAACAGCATTTCGAAAGAGAACATTTCACAACTAAATAGTAGCATAAAATACAGTTCGGGTTTGGAAGACGACCCCTGGGGCCTAAGCAGGCCTCCATCCTTTTCTGCCTGGACAGTGGGTGATTTTTTTATCCAGTCCTCATTTTTCAGTAGATGTACACTGGATGCCACCATCATACAGTAGGTGATTCTAGGCCCTACTTAGGGGTGCTTTAGCCAGCCTATTTTTTTCTCAGCCCCCCATGACAAATTATTTTTCAAAATCCATTTAGCAATTTTGGCCCATATTTTCCTAAACATTTCATGCAAATTTTATTGCCTGAAAACTTGATTTCCTTTTTAGGGGATTGCGGGGTATTTGGTATTTCTTCAGATTTAATTAAAGCCCCCCAAACAGTCAAATCCAATGAATCATCCCTGGTCAACATCATCGCGTAACTCACACTGACTAGTGAAAAGAATCTACTTTTGTGCTAAGTTACCCTGCAGCAAGTTAACCTTCTTTTACTCTGCCACATTTGTACCAAACAAAGTCATGTATAATTACTTTCTTACAATCGTAAAACTTTTTATTATTTAGTAGTCTGATGTCACTTTTAGTTTCAAGAATCTTCCTTTTGTTGTTTTGCTTATATGCGGAAAGAAAAGTAGTCAAAAATTACATTTGAAAATCTAACACGCTACAGACAACTAAATACAATCGGTTTAGAACTGGACTGCTATGACTCTTTCAATTAATATCTGACATGCAACTATATATTTTTGTGGAATGGTTTAGCTTATGTAGGTAATGTCATAAAACAGCATATTACACAGAACTAAATCTAAGTACTGTTGGTGTTATTTAGGTTATCTATAAAAGACCGAGAAATAAAGCTTGTTTTTTTTTAATCAAGTTTATTTCAAAATATGTGTGATTACAGTGCATTTTTAGTTATACAGGATGCAGCGCGAGCATTTTGGTGTTTTTTTTCCATAAGGGGATTGATTATCCCACTCAGGATTACAGTGCAAAAGTAGCATGCATGTATATAGACAGACAAGCAGACACAGGATCCAGGTTTCTAACTGGCTCAGCATTCACTGCAGTACTAAAGCCATCAGCTTGGTTTGGTGAAACTGTTTTTTTTTTCCCCAAATCAAAATCCAGTATCCTTCACCATCCTGATCTTACTGTACATGGAGATCAATAAAATCAAGGCAGGCAGTCTTTGATATGTACCAGACTAAACTTATACATCATCATTCTTTTGCGTCCTGTACAACCTAAAGAAGATCCGATTTGAGAAGCACAGTTACTAAACTGGATCACAATATATTTCATTTCAAGATTCTCATTATTACAGTTTACTTCACTATATAATTGTGCTGAGAAATACTTCAGACTTTAAATCAATTTCCAGTTGGCTCCCAGTGCAAAATTCAAGAAAACTAAGAACAGTTGCACAACTAAGAAACTCAGCAAATCCTATAAACAGAAAATATTTAAACATATAATTAAAAAATATGCTTGGAAATATAACTGGCTTTTCATACACGGTAAGCGAGCTACATGTACGCACGTATGCTCTTCCTTTTTAAGTACCCATTGACCGAGTTCAAATAGGCAACGATAGTTACCCCAATGGTCATATCCACGTTACAGAGTATAGCATCCTAACAGGGAGGACACAGGAACCCAGAAGCCATCGGACAGAACACAGCTCACTGCCTGCTGGACACAAACAGAGAGAATCTACAGTACATGGTGATGTGGTCCTACTTGGTCTAGCAGGTGAATAATGGGTTCGGAGGTGCCGGATCACCGCTTAATACAGACTGGCACAACTCCCATCTTTAACATCAGAAATATGCCCCTGTGTCTTGGCTTTGTTTAGGATTAATACTATGGGGATGTGAATGAGAATCCAAAGTATATGAAATAACAATCTTCGCAACATTATTCCGAAGATGCTTTTATGGGTCCTCTCAGGGTATATACATTCTGTCACATACTGCAGGGTTAATCAGTTAAACAGCTCATATCAGAATCTGTGTGAACTGTGTAGGCAAAGTGTACTCAACTGACAGTGTGGGACGGTTTGAAAATATAGTAAAAAGAACACAGCCAATTACTGTATTGGAACGAATAAGCTGCACCGTGATGTTTCAGCAGTAAACAAAAGACTGACATATCGTTAAAAATGCAGGCTTGTAAATCTGTAGTTATGAATGATTCCAACTCCACCCCCTGCAGTAAATTCAGTGAAAGTTACATCCCTAATTAAATACCGTAATCCTCTGATTAGTACCCCCCCCCCNCTTGAGTTAAATTAAATTACTCAAGAAACAGTAGAGTGATCATCCACAGACAGAACTCCTGTCCTCCAAAGTGCACAAATACTACATCAAAAGCAGCAATGGCGATATCAACATCAAAAACACACATGAAAGAGAATGAAAAGACGACAACAAAACCAGATAATACTTCACATATAACAATGAAAACGGCTCGAGTGAAAAACTGAGTCTGACAATACAGTTTTGGCAAAGATATTATGTGAAAGCAGCCTGTTTCAAAGGAGAGAACGGTGCGTGAGAAGCAGAAAGTTCAGAGACAGCTGTCCGTCAGGGAATTAGCAATGCATCCCTAATTTCAATTAGGACTCCTGCACAAAGGTGACCTGCAGATCCTTTCATGCAGCTTCATTCATGTAACCAGATGGTAAAATTCTGTTTACTTTAACTTAGTTTCCCAAAAGCCTCCCAAAACCACTTTATCACACAGAACTAATAGCAAACTGTTTTTTATTTTCTCCAGGTAATACAGGATTGCTCACCTGCGAGTGTGCTTTTCTTCTGGCATTATAAAAACATACACTAACAACCTTGTCATTGACCTGTGGCTATTCTGAGTATTGCCTTTTCATTGTTGTTTTCAGGACAGAGAATACTCAACTAACGCTACGTTTGCTTGTTGGTCCCGCCATAAATGGTTTAACAGCGTAATCGCATTTCTTACAAAACGACAAGCCCTGACTGTAATGGCAGAAAACCAGCGTTGACACAATCCAAATATATGAGATGGTATCAGGTCGCCACAGACCGGCAGTTCTCTCTCAAAACAAACTGAGAGCGCAGATCATTACATAACAAAAAACACAGTTTTGCTTAGTGCATGGTCAGAATTGGTCACTTAACACTGTACAATTCGACCTGATTGAATTCCTTCGTAGTCAGTTGCTATTTACAGGCCAAAGTCATGGCTTGGTTCAGATGTGTCCAGTATCACACCTCTCAGGCACTCCTGCAACCCTGGATTCTCTGCAGTCGCTGTATAAAAGTATCACAGACAACATGTACAGCAGACAAAAGTCCCAGACATTTGAAAAACTGCAGTTAAGACAGAGAGTGCAGTAATAAATGGCAGTAACTCTGATAAACTGTATAATATTCATTCTATTTTTGGTTAAAAAGTAAAAATATATAGATTTATAAATTGTACTTCTAAATTTATAGTTGAACTTGTTACAATGTACTTTTCCCTGAATGTATTGGAATTAAGAATTTGTCTTTATGTATTTAAGTTTTTATTGTACTCAGTTAAGACTTTGAGGGGCAGTGCTAGGAGTACTGTATGTGTGTGTGTGTGTGAGAGTGTGTGTGTAAGTGTTTGTGTGTGTATAGGTTTATTCAAAATAGCAAGTTTTTATTACATTGTGGGGAACATTTGGTCCCCACAATGTAATAAAAACTTGCTATTTTGACATTGTGGGGACCATTTTTCAAGGTTCCACAAAGATTTGTGAATGCAATCAAAAAATTTAAAAATGCAAAAAGTCTTATTTTTTGTTTTGTTACTCGTAGTTAGGGTTAGGGCTGGGTTAAGGTCGTCATGTTGGGATTAGGGTTTTCCCCATAGAAATGAATGAAGAGTCCCCACAAAGATATATTTACAAATGTTTCTGTGTCTGTGTGTGTGTGTGCGTGTGGGTTATGGCATGTGGGTGTATCTGAGCAGGTGTCTGTAGGGAGAAGGTTCAGCAGGAGTTTTTGCTTCGGCTGTGGGTCTGACCTTAATCTGAGCTACTTAAACCTTGAGAGCTGTACAGGAATGATGGAAGCCACCACAGCCAAGACAGCAATGAGTTACTGCAGACCCGGCCAGGGCCACGATCTGCGAAAAAGAAGGGCTCTCCGGGAAAACGGTTATGTTGCCTATTTTCATGTACAGCTCTGGTAATATGACGAACCAAACTAGAGAGCACCATGCATTTTACTAGATGCATCAAAAAAAGAAAAAAACTCCACATGCTGATGTCTGAAGCAGGTTACAGTGGCTATAAAGCTAATGTACAGGTATATGTGTGAGCAAGCAATAGAGATAACGCAGGATATCCCTGGGTTTGGAACAAAGGGGATCCACCCCCGATATTTTCATTCAGGGTAATATGCTTCACACATTCAGAGAAGAGCACAGACACACTACGATGCTAAAGATCTTCAGTGGTCAGATCGACACACACTCCGCAGGCACAGTCCAACAGGACTGCATGCTTGTGCACATTACTGCCTTTAGGCTGAATTATATTTCTGCGTGGAATCAACACTGCAGGTAGCTGCGTAGCCCTACACAGTAGCCGAGATTTTTCAAACAGCATCGGTAGAAAGACGCCCCCTTTTGGCAGGTTTTGCCGTGGCAGGAGAAAGGTTAGAAAAACTGCCTTCGCTTATGCTGTAGCCCAGTGTGTCCCAGTCCAGTCCTGGGGATGTGGACTGTCTGGCAGGGAGCTGGGAAATCATGGACCGACTCTGGATCCCAGTGGACCAGATTGGGAGACCCTGCTGTAGCCTGACGCCTGTAGTTACATGTCTTGGGAGGTGTGAGTCAGGCTACGGCATAGATTCTACGCCGAAGTATAAATCAGCCTTTACTCAGAAGTGCAAATGGGTCCAAACTCACGTCAACACGCATCCTGTCAAACGACGGTTGGACCAGAGTCTGCACGCAAGGCATGCTGCTGTCGTGAAATGCGCCGCGTCGTGAGGTATGCAGAGACGCGTAATCAGGCAGACGGCAAAATTTCCTTAGTTATATCTTGATATGGTCAGTAGATAAAGCAAGTTTAAACAGATGACTATCTAGAATGAAGGGGGAGATGTTTGCTTTAAAAACCACCCCTGTTCATTTGGCCTTTCACTGTGCAGTGTCCATGTACTTGGTGGCCACGGAAGCTTTGCGAGGAATATCGCTCTGAGACATAAGTAACTTCTAAGGGGAAGCAAAGAGCTCCGGGGAATAGCGACAAAAAGAAGTGAGGACAGATAGTAAGAGGAACAAAAATCAAAGAGCATAAAAGTGGGAAGAGAAAAAAACAGGCCAGGAAAAAAGGACAGGGTCAAAAAAAAAATGAATAATGAATAAGTAGTGACCTGACTATGCTAAAATCCCCGGTAGAAGAAGGAACAGGAGGGCGACTCAGGGAGAAGGGTTTGCTAATTGGTCGTCTTCTATTGTCCGTGGCCCCCAAGCGAGACAGGAAGGTGAGGATGGTGGAAGATGGTGATGGATTGGGGTGGGGGGAGAGGGGCAGCTGGAAAGGCGGGGCATGAGGGCGGCGCGATGGCCGTTTGAGCAAAATTCAGTAGACGTCTTCGGGCAGGGAGTAGGCATGTCTGGAAGACGGGAAGAGAACAGGGAAGAGTCAAGTGCTAAAGTCAGCACTGGAGACACACGTCCTCAGTCTTAGAAAGAGCACAGAATGCATGCCAAGGAGGGGCATCGGCAAACAGAAAAACACACAAGACACCAACAGAGACGTCTCCATACTGGCAGTAGGAAACTAGGCAAGATACTACAAACAGAATTATACCATCTCCGTGGACAGAAAAAACATGAAGATTAAAACAGAAATAATACTGACGAACATTCACAGGGTAGAAGGTGAACAATGGAAACCATATGTATCTGCTGGTGACACCTGACATTCTTTATTCAATTGACCCCTGGACAATTTTCCCATAAAATAAGAGTGATACTTGCAGTAGTGTTTTGACATTTTGTTTGAAATAAGATAATCAGATGAAATCTTTGTAGTGGTCTGAACCCGTCTTGGCATGAATCTGTTGATATTGGATCCAGTAGCTTTTTCCTCAAAGCTTTTCTGCTATGGTCAGTGCTTCGCTCTAAAGCAAGGTCACATCGATCGTTTGCACCCGTATTCCCTCGTTACACTAAGTGTTGTAGAGTAACAAGCACACCCGAAGCTTTTGCCAATGTTTCAGGGCCACCTGTCAGGATAACGGCTCCAATGTCCATGGTAGCTAGAGGGAAGAAGGACTTAACACTCACAAGAAGGGTAAAGTCGTCATTCTCAGACAATGCCCAAAGGTCTTTAGGAGGGGAGGCTGAGGAACGGCTCATCGCACAAACAAACTACACAATCACACAAAAACAAGCACTGACAGCAACAAAATGCTACCCAACAGCTCAGCCAGCAGCACTGCCCCCTCCACTCACGACCACAAGCATTGCTTCTTAGCTGCACGAACATTGTTCTGAGGGTGGGCAGAACCTGCGACGAGGTCCACCGATGAGGCACAATGTTCCTGCATTTTGGGCATGCAACAAAGTTGCAGCAATGGCGTAATATTGCACCGGCAAAATAGCGACAACAACCGCAATTTGCCAGCTTGGGCAGGTGCAGAGATTAAGAGGTATAATGCCCCTTGTGTTATGTTTACACACTTCAAATCATGGCATAGTGAGATTCAGCTCTACATCTCACACTTTCAACCAAAATCACTCACAGCAGTGGGAAGGATCCCAATTCCAGCCATTCCTCCCTGGTATGTGAACCCATGTCTTTTGCATTGTTAGCACAATGCTTTACTTGTTGAGTTACAAGAGTAGCACACAGCTCTATCTGGGAGTGTCTGCAATGTCATGGCCTATGGTTCATCTGCCTACTCCATGACATTCTCTCAGGCATTCACTGCTCCCCCACACGGGATCAGAACAAGAGGCAGAAAAGCTATCAGAGAGCACAGTGGGTGGACAACCGGGGTGGTTATATTGTTAATTTGTGTCCGGGGAGGGGCGGGGTTAGATAGTCACATGACTACAAAAGAAATCACCAGGCATAGATCTCTTTACCAGCAAGGGGGGGAAGAGGGCCTTCACCAAACTTTCGGCCTTCCCAGGACGGTGCTGGCCGGTTATAGCTGCCTGGTAAGGTTACAGCACAGACAAATACGGAGAAGAAGAAAAAGAAGGAGAAAGGAGAAACGTATTGGTGACAAGTTATGGGGCCAGCAGGCAGTGGGCAGCCTCCCATGGCTAAAGGGGCAGAGGGGGGATGAGTACGATCGACCCACTGGAGGCCCAAACAGTTCCCAGAATTCCCCCTGGCTAATACTTGAGATGAAATCCAGTTGGTCCATCGGCCCGTGAGGACCGGTTCTGCCCAATCTCTTGGTGGCTTCTGGGACGTTTATTTCAGGAAACCCTCTGTCTCCGTAATGCTATTTTTGATGTGAAAGGCGAGAGGGCTTGCACAGAATGATATAAAATAATTTCTGCATGGGCTCTTTTCTACCTTGACCAGAAGGCCGTGCTAGATCACCACCCACCCCCCAACTTATAAACCTCTGCACGCTGCCACTTCATTCCTCGGAGGTGATGGATTTTGATTTTCCACTCGATTCGTTTTTGACGTTATACAAGCGTGTGTGCAGGGGCGTGGCCGGAAATTCCGGGCCCCCTGACGAAACGTCACCTTGGGTCACCTGTGCCCCCTTATATTATATATTATTGTCATTTAACTCAGGGGCTCGTGTAAAGTGCCGGGGCTCCTGAATCTGCCTGGGTATCCAAGGAAGCTACTGGAAATTCAAGAGTGAGGACACTATAGGGAGATGTAGATCACGAGAGGGGAGGAGAAAGAGGGGAGGAGAAGGAGGGAGAGAGAAAAATGCTCACTTGGTGCCCTCCTCGGTGCCTCCCTCCGCGTCCGTCTTCCCTTCCTCTTCCATCTTCTGCTCGTCGGAGATGAGTTCTTGTTTCCTCCGGCGACGGACGCACTTGATGATCACCATGGACAGGATGAGCACCGCCAGAATCCCCCCCACCGAGGCCCCCATGACTACTGCGATGGTGGAGTCCCGAGGCGGGGGCACTGTGGACCCAAAAGGGGGGCCCGGTAAAAGACCAGGGGGGGGGGGGGGGGGTAAGGTAGGACAGGGAGTGAGTGACGGGGTGGGGCGGGGCTTATTTTAGTGCACTATTTTCCTGGGGCGGCCATAATCATCTTTCACTGCAGCAATTAAACCATTTACCAGGGGATTAAACTGTCATTTAATAAGAGCCTTTATTAATTCAGAAAGCCTGATTGTAGGAGATGGCAAGGAGAAGGGGGGGCCAGACAGCGGGCATACATCGCTTACGCCAGCGCAGGGCCGTAAACAGCCAGAGCGGACAGAGATGCCGTCGCATCAATAAATAAAAATGCACCTCTGCTGAGTCATCATGCCTGGGTGGGCTAGACCTCCACTGCAATTTAATCGGGCAACAGAGTCCATAATTCATAATAATGTGGAATGTCCTTTATTATATAGCATTTTTGACCACTTCAGAAATGAATTTCAGATCATATACTCGCCATATATTTGCCACCCATACTTGTAGTCAGCTGTACCCTGAATGCTTTGTTTACCAAATTTGTCTACCTGTTATTGCATTGGATAACGCACTGGGCCTTCCCCCCCTCCCCCAACACCCTGTACATCCATCTTTCTAGACCAATTTCCCGACCCAATCCTAGGGGACCCCCAGACAATCCACATTTTTGCTCCCTCCCAGCTCTCAGCCAATCAAGAACACCAGATGCTTGGTATGGGTGTGTTGGGGGCTGAGAGGGAGCAAAAATATGGGCTGTCTGGGGGCCCCCGAGGACTGGGCAGAGAAATACTGGTCTAGACTGCTGGCCCCCTATTCATAACTTCCGAAAAGCATCAGACAGGATCAAATGAATCCAGTTCAACATTTAAATGCGTAAACGGATCAATTGCCATAGTCATGTAAGTAAACTTTTAAATTATCTGTATCCCGCTCCTTTACACCCCCCCCCCCACACACACACACACACACACACCCAGTATCCTTACACTCTGTGACGACGTTCAGCGAAATCGAAGCATTGCCCAGCTGCCGGTCTGGGGGGTTTCGCACATAACACTTGTAGATCCCACTGTCGGACATCTGGACGTCAGAGATGGTGATGGACAGGTCGTTCTTCTCCAGGTTCCCCGCAAACACCACCCTGTCGTCGAACCGCTCCGTCCGTATGACAGTCATCCGGTGTTTAAATGTCATAAACTGAGTAAGGAAAAAAAAATTGTTATAAAGTAAAAAAGAAAATGATGCTTAAATGATCTTCATGTTGGTGTAAAACTATAATATTATGTCTGTCAAAGTGTGTCAGCATAGTCACTTCAACATCTCTCCTAAAGTCACCCCAGTATTAACAGGAACCATCCAATACACCCATGTATTTGTTGACTGCCCTACTTGCGTACCACGTTCGGATAATCAATACCTCACTTAACTAATTAAGGTCATTAATTAATTGAGCTGGTGGTGATATTTAATGAATACATGGAATGGCTGAGGTGCCCCTGAGGAGAGGATTGGGAACCCAATCAGTGATCATCTAGCCACCCAACAAGATATCAACAACTTTGACTCTTATTTTGCTTGTGTTGTAATGTTAAATTGTGCTTTTTGTTGTGAGAAAATGTACGTTTACTACCCAGATAAATAGCTCTAAACAATTTCATTGACTACCTAAGACTTTAGCACTGGTAGGCGTGCTCTTCATTTTACGATGGTTTGATTTACAATATCTCAACTTTACTGTAGCACAATAGCGATGCACATTCAGTAGTCATCAAACTTTGAATTTGGTTCTGCTCCCGGGCTAGCGATACACCGCATGATACTCTGCTCCCGGGCTAGCGATACACCGTATGATACTCTGCTCCTGGGCTAGCGATACACCGTATGATACTCTGCTCCCGGGCTAGCGATNGGGCTAGCGATACACCGTATGATACTCTGCTCCCGGGCTAGCGATACACCATATGATATTCTCTATTGATGCTAGGTGATGACAGCATTCCAGTCACTGTAGCGAAAAAAATCTCATACAGTGTGTAACACTGCATTGTATGATGTTTTTCGGCATTTAACTAAATATTTACTTATTCAGTGACAGTAGTTATTTATTCTTGTTTATTTAATTGTTTGTTTATAATATCATATGCATATTATGGTATTTTCAGCTTTAGATCATCGGAATGTAACATCACAGTAACTTGAGAGGCACCTGTAGTATTGGTAGACACAAGTAATCTGGAGCATATAAAATAAGTGTAACGTAAATTGAATGGAAATTAAATCAGGCAATTGAGAGGTCACAGCATCCGCATCTATCTGCTTATGCTCTCACGGTCCCAAAACACTATCCACTTGGCTGAACCTGCAGCTCTCACCTGGGTCAGAGTGAGAGGTGAGTAAGTATCAGAAAGTTGACTACAGACAACCCAACTCGGTAGGTGACAGAAGACCCAATCTGGCTTTGAATGTCAGTGTTGGATTAAAGTGAAGTAAAACGATCTTCTTTAGCAGTTGCCGTAAAAAGCCATATTATGTCACTACAGTGTGATTTGGTACCTCAGAAGGAAAGGCCTGGGTGACTTTTTATCAATATAGAGAAACACAAAAATATAAAACAGGAAGAGTGTTTAATGGGTAGAGAAAACGTTAAAACGGGAACAGATAAAGGTGTTCCATAAAGAAAGATTTCTGCTAGCTAGGTTAACTTAAGCTAGCAGTCATGATTTTCCAATAAGAATGCTTCTTAAACTCCTATTAGATAGTCATGACTTCTAGCTTATGCTAACCCAGCTAACCAGGAAGTCCTGCTTCGGGATTTCTGAGAACCCCAAACTCGGAACTACTCACTATCTCCTCTGTGTCGTTAAGATCCTCCTTGTAGGTCCAGTTCATGGCAAACCTACTGATATCAATCTTGTAGCAGGAGGTAAAGGTACAGGGCAATCTAGCTGTGGTGCCATTGAGTGCGTTGACCTTGGAGGGCACCATCACGTCCATAGATGAGGCAGGAGAATCTGAAAAGCGCCAACAACTGATGATGTCTGGCATCCGTGCAAATTCCTGGAGCATTTCGCTCACAAACTAGTATGACTGACTCACCTTTAGCAATAGCTACTTTTAAAAGAGCTACTAAATCAACGACAGAAGCAGGCACTTCAGGGCTGCCAACCTTGGTCAGCTGGCTGAGATTTTCAATTCGAGACAAGCCTTCACACAAATGCACACACACGCAACAGGTTAATTAACTTGTAAATAGTCTGTATGGTTTGCAAACTAGCCCCAATGCTTTTGATGTAGCTAATATTAGGTTTATAATGGAATTATACAGATTTCTTGCATGAGTGTGAGAGTCTAAAAGCATGTCATGCCAGATGCGTGAGAGTTCCCTACCCTGACACTTCAAAGAAAGTTAAAGAGACAATATGATTTTGCCTTGATACTGTCACCATGTCAGCAGTATTAAAGCTAACAGATGGGCATCAGAGTGACTAAAGCACTTACATCACAAAAAAAAAATCAAATGACATTTCAATGAAGCTACAGGCACAATGTTAGCATGAGGTTACTTTAATACTGTCACCCCATCAGCAGTAATACACACTACATCAACGCTAATGTTTTAGCATCAGAGAACTCGCAGGACTTACACCACAACAAATGAACTATGCACAACCAGAGGTAGGTATCTTAATAACGATACTGACACAGTTGGGCAGTAGTAGCAAAGCTAATGCCAAACTTTAGAACCAAGGTTACTGCAGTAATTACTGCATGAGAAATGTACCAAAATGCCATTTTTGTCAGTATTGCTTCAAAACACAATAAACATTCCTTAAACTGTAACACCTGCTTTTTGCTCGAATTACAAGTGTATCAGAGTCTCTTTACAATGTAATGACTCATATGCACAAAGTCATTAGACTACATAAGAGCTCCCACACATTACAAGTTGTTTGGCTTTATATGGAAAAGCAATGAGATTCCGTAACCGGCGCACGTTGGTACTGACGAGCGCTAACTGGCTAGCCGCTGGCTATCCCAGCTCGTCTTCAGCGTGCATCTTATTTTAGCTGTCACAGCCCCTGCTTGCAGTGTGCGCGCGAGCGAGAGTGTGTGTGTGTGTGTGTGTGTGTGTGTGTGTGTGTGTGTGTGTGTATCTGAGTGCAGCTCTGCACCATCCCCTGCCTCTGCAGTCAGGAGTTTTTTCGCATTTCTGGACAGGATCCCACTGCTGCTGCAGTTATTCTCCGCCGGGCTCGGCCTCTGCGGTAGAAGGCAGTCCGTCACAGCCACTCTTCCCCTCCTGTCCAGGCTCCCTGCACACCAGCCCTGCCGCTACCCCCCAACCCCCCCCCGAAGCTCATCTGATCAGCCTTTCTCACATACGCTGCTCTTCCTACTGCTGCAGTCTGAGCCCACCCCCCACCGCACCCAGCCAGCCTCCCTCCCTCCCTCTCAAGTAGGCAGGTGTCTTCACATGGGACTGCGGTACAGCACCTGTTCCTCGGGGAGGAGGGGGACAGACGGGCTGACGCCCACGGGGCACAGACACACACACACACAGAAAGCGTACATCCTCAGAACATAGAACCGACAGGTTCACATTTATATTGCGGACACTAATAAACAGACGCGCGTGCCGAACCGGTGGCAGCAGCCCCCCGGCGACCATCCCTCCTCTTTTCCCCCGACACGTTTTATCCACGTGCTGCACACTGTGCCGGCCAATAAAAAGTTAGACCAGGATCAGGGAATTTATAAGGAAGCAGCTACGTCACAGTCATGTGACTATACATCCGTCTCAGTATTTGGCAATTTCAGGTATGAACTTTGACCCACTGACATCTTTACAGTTAATATTACAATATCCACTCATCCATTCATCCGTCCACCGACTGCTTATCCAGCACAGGATAATAGTGAGTTAATATATTATGGTTGATACTGTAAAAAATATTGCCTATATAAAAGCAAACACTGCTATTTTTACCGATCTATATATAAAATGTGTATTATAATACACAGTACTATCGATAATTTTTTTTTAAACATATCAATGAATGCATGATTAGTGTCATGCAGTTATGTGGTAAATGCAGCACCCTGGGACTTGGGGAATATTAGAGTTTGACCTCCGCTGGGGGGGCTCAGTGGGGAGGGGGTGCAAAAGAGAGACTGTCACCCTTATCCTGATTCATAAATCGCTGGGAAAAATCAATAATTGCTGTATCCTAATGGCCTATTGCTCGGGTCTGTCAAAGGCAGGACTGGCACAAGGCATGAAACACTGCAGCAGATTCCTCCTCAGCCCCCACCCCCCCCAAGCCCCACCCATTCCTCCGCCTCCATTCTCTGCTTGCCTCTTTTCCATTTTTTTTTTTTTTTTTGGGCACCAGCTCAAGGTCACCGCAATGAGGTGGCAGCGAGTCGCTTCGCGGCGATGCCTCAGCCGTTTCGGCCCGCGGGCCAAGCCAGCGCCCGACATGGAATTGCCGGCCATCTGCACTTCTGCACACGCACGCACACACACACACGCACGCACACACTGCACCAAATCACATTCCCAGGGGGAGTGTCTCACACACATGTGATCACAGCAACATCCCCTGTACAGAAGACAGAACACGAACTGGTCAGACACATACATGCACACACACACCCAAAACATGCTCTGAAGAGCAAATCTACATATACTTCCCCGAAAGAAAATATGTCCATACAAGAAAAATTAATGAAGAGAAAGGAAATAAGTAGGTAGTAGTGAGTAGGTAGTACTTACCAAAATCATTAACCCGGTTACTTAGTTAACACTGAGAAGACTATTTTAGCGATGAGAGATTTCTATCAATTATATAATGCAGCACAACACATAAAACGATACCGTACAGATATTTTTTACAAGCCACATTAAATTGCTGTACATTTAAAAGGTCTGTTTATACCCAACAAGTATGGACTGACGACCTTGGAGATCAATTATTCTTTCCTGTAAAAGTAAAATACTTCAGCTATGATATACAATAATACTGCCCATTAATATAAAATAAAAGGCCTGCAAATACTACTCATTTGCAAAAGAGCTTTTAGCAATATTGACCGAAGTTATGCATATCTGATGTCTGTTTAAAATTTAATTCACGCTGTACATTCAGTTTGTACATAAAAATCACTTCCATCTACAAATCTTAGGCCTGACAGAGGCGAAGTGTGGAGACTGAGCCAAAAAACGGGTCAGTTTTATGTCAGCATAATAAATGTCTTCAAAATGGTTTACTTGCTGAGCTTCAAGGGAAAAAAAAGAAATACCAAACGAGTATGGCACACTGCTGCCATCTAGTGCTACAGGAGACACATTGCATACTGTGTAGGATACACGCAGCTGCATTGGGCTTAATGACATCATTTTGTTCAGACAGTAATATGTAAGGGATTATTTTATACAAATCTCCAGTTAAAGTGACAACTTGGATGTAAATGCTAGGATTAATATTTAAATACTCAGGCAACTCTAAGGCAATATCTGTAAATGACTGAAATAAAGATATACAAAGTGATTCCATTGCACTCTTGCATCTTAGGCTCCTAAGCTTCAGTTAATTTCAGTTCAATTCATAGGCTTAGACTCGTCAAAAGCATACATAATGTTTATGTATAATTGCGGTTATTTTTAGCAGGCTAGACTATTGTAACAGTGTCTTTGCATGTCTTGGCAAAATATCAGTCAGACAGCTGCGGTTCATCCAGAACGCTGCTACCAGAGTCCTCACCCGCACCAAGAAAGCAGAGCATATCTCACTGCTCCTTAAATCACTGCAAGAAAGCAGAGCATATCTCACTGCTCCTTAAATCACTGCA